GGGGGGGGGGGGGCACAAACGAAACCGTCAGTCGTCCTTGAAACAACAAAGAGATGAATATTCAGAAGGGTAGTGGACGCCGCCGTCACTTCCGGAAAAGAGTGTAGTTTCAGCTTAGAGAACAATTGCACGCTAATAACGTTCTTATTATGGGCTCACAACTCGACGTCACAACAGCATATTGTCAGATGGGTATCACCAACTCGAAGCGGCAACCACTACTTTGCAGCCGCATCTTGTTTCCAGCCAATGTCCAAATGAGGGCGGGGAGGGGCGTACAGAGGGGTGCCGGCAGCAATCCTATGTCCGAACGTGTTGATGCTGTTTTTCATTCGAAATTTTGGACTAAGTATACGGGAATTTCTCGAAAAACTGCCTGAACAGATTCGTCGGGCCGGGGGGGTTGGGGGCACACGAGGATTGCCTTGGTCTCGTGTGCGGTGCGTTCGCTTGTGTGCAGCATGGCTACGAGTAGAGTGAGTAGGTCAGACCTCATCTGGTACCAAGGTACGGCACGGCAGGCAGCCAACCTCACCTTCTCTTCTCGTACTCTTACAGCGACATGCGTTAAAAATATTAGCAACTCGTGCCTTGCCAAAGAAGCGAGGGCAACGACGTAACACAGCACACAAAGGAGGAAACTAACGTCTTGCATCGAGAACAACAACAAACAACTTCACCTGTTAACACAATTCGCCTTACCTCGAACACGCAATGAAAACTGACGTCTTGCACCAAAAAACAACCACCAAAAACATCGATTAAACAGAGTGCAGTTTCCGGGCCGCCGAAGTGACACAGACGCATATTTTTCCATGTACAGTACACGGGCAAAACAAAAAAAGAAGATAACTGCAGCAAGTTAGATACAACAAGCAGCCTCTATCTCGCCATGACGGCTCTTCGGTTGTCGAAACACACTATCTACCATTTTCCAAACGGTACAAATTGCAAACAAAACAAAAGATGGGAGTGAAAATACACGGGCCAGCCGTCCTAGAAGCTCACGTTAGTTTGCAGCTGCATCGCCAGGTCGAGAACGGAGGCGGTCCTTGCTGCCCGAGCAACGAACTTCACGACCAAGCCTTCGTACCGACATTTCTTGCTGCTCCTGTCCTCTCCCCAGCGCTGTCCATGGTTGAGGGGGGAGGGAGGGGGGTATACTATCATTGGTGCGTGCCGTTCGTGTCACCTCAGTCGATCGTTGGTCACACACAAGACTTCCCAGACCTCGCCCCGCTCCCCTTTGCTGCACTCCGGAGCCTATTCTACTATTTATGACAAATCCCTGCTTAAGACGGCCGAAATAAAGAAGGTGCAACAATTCTGCCGTTGTTGTGCGCATACACGCCGTCGTTCCCACAGCAATTCCTGATTTGGGTATGTGAGGAAACCAAGCCAAGAGAGCGGGATCCCTACTAACGCCGTCCATAACCCACGGCCGGCAAGTTGATTCGCGTAAGACCAATCATAAAGCCCCCGTCACCAGCCCTCTTCTCCCCCCTCCCCCCCTGATCATGGATGCCAACATCATGGATACCCCCCTGAGATCAACACATGCAATCACGTGTACCCATCCAAACGCAAGGATAATAAGCAGCTTTTGGCCCATCCTCCTGAAACGCAGCCTGGGACGGCGAAAACACGACATATCGCTCCGTCCCGGCGGCGAGGTCGGTCTACCGCCTACCGCCTATGACATGCGCCCCCCCCCCCCCCCCCCCCCCCCCCCCCCCCCCCCCCCNTGGCCGATACCCTGTCTCTTATACACATCTGATGTGTATAAGAGACATGTGTCTTACCCCCGATCTCGTCATCCTGTAGACATGGGTCCCGCGGCCGAGAAGATCGAGAGGGACCCCCGTCACCGGTTCGAAGCCCTTGGCCTTGATGGTCACCGTCGCCGTGGGGAGCGCCATCTTGGCGTTGGGTACGGTGAGCTCGCCCACGCTGACGCGGTCCGAGGGCGGTCCGTCCTCTCCCCCTCCTCCTTGTTGGTCGTACAGCGTGGAGGCGATCCGGCAGAAGTTGCCGCTCGTGGCGTCTGCCGGTGCCGCCGGTGGAGCGGCGGCAGGCCTCCTGTGAGACACGCACACACACGCGCGCGCGCAAGCGCAGCAACGGACCCACGTCAAGCAAGACGCGGCGAGACCAACACCAACACACACGGAAGCAGGTAGCCAAAGCAAATGCTGTCCATGTCGACATGTGGCATTATTGTCGTGCTCCACGTAGAGAACGTGCCGTTCATGTAGTAGACGTGTGGCATATTTGCCGTCGTCCATCGCACCGCAGACGAAGACTTTCCTACCCAAGGGTCCCGGCCGACAACAACCCCAAGTACATCACAAATTCAGAAAAAGGGGAGTAGTAACCACACGTACGTACCCACACGATGGTCAAGACAAGGCGCGCCAGCACCCCTCCCCAATCCTGTAAAACCTCTGTCTGCATGCCTCCCTATGTGTAGCTGCATCTTGTTTCCTTCAATACATCAACCAATTCCACCCAGTTCATCACGCACGCAAGCCACAAGTACCGGCAAAAGTCTAGTAGCGCCCCCTTCGACGAAACAAAACCAAGGGAGGTTTGAGCTTGTCTTCGCGCCTACAAACTAACTCCCTCACGGCTATCGAGCTCTTTGTGTGGATCCCCAGTATTGTTGGATGATGCATTTCTTTCAGCGGCATGTCTCTCATCAAATCCTTCCACCACTGCAGCCACCGTATCCGAGCTCTACTTTCCCCGCCCATCTGTACCAGCCGTTCCCGCCTTGTACCTACCCCCACCCACTCACCCGGTCTTCTTCGAGCCGAACGGCCGCCCCTTCTCATGCGCCGCCGCCCCCGATGACGAGGTGTCGTCCTCAAGGGTAACCCTGACGGGAACGCCCAGGTGGTTCTCGATGGTGAGGAGGCGCATACCGTCGTCGCCGTCGTTGCCGTCTCTCAGCTCGGTGTACACCGACGTCGTCGAGTACCTGTGCCCCGCGCGCAAAAAAAACAGTGAGCAATGGTACGAAACACCAGAGACGAGCGTTTCAAGCGCATGGTGCACACGGTAAGGAAAGAGAAGGAACGCTCAAGCGCAGGGCGCGCACGGTATGAAATAGAGAGGAGCATTGCATGTTCGAGCGGCTCATGACAGGGTGTGTACAGAGACTCCATTTTCTCTCGCGAGCGAGAATCTTGTTTAGACGTGGTGCACAGCAGTGGCCCTTGTAGGAAGGACGCACAACGCCGAGGGATGTGGCCGGCCATACAGACTATGGGGCATCCGCTACTGTTCGATTGTGAGATCACTTTTTGATTGTTTCATCCATGTCACGCGAACGATTTTAACCGGCCTTGCACATTGCGACCGGCCACAATTCTTGAGACCTATCACAGGGAACCACTACTGCTGTGCGTAATAAATATGGTACATATTGTCAAATCGGAACCGTTTCGAATGTGAAGACAACGGCAACAACAATAGCTACACTTGGCAACAACACGACCTATCTGTCGCGTCTCGACAGATTTGAGTCGCTGTCGTGAATTCAATGAGCGACGAGTCCAGTGCCTGCCTGCCCACCTCGTCTTGGCGTAGTCTCGCGATTCCATGATGCTGCACGCTAGCGAGGTCAGGCCGGTCGTAACGTTCAGCACGAAGTGTTGGTCGGCGATCATCTGACCTCGGGGAGTCGACTCTCCGCGAGGGTCGCTCATCTTAATGCTCATGCTGAAAGCCAAGACAAGAATTGGCGTCGTGGGGAGGGGGGG